TATATATATATATATATATATATATATAAAGTAGTTTTAAACCCTTCCCAAACTCTTGCAATATTCTAAACAATGTTTCTAAATTTTAAATACTCTAAAAGAGCACAGGTTTCATGATTTCAGCTCTCTGCCTCTGCTGCTCTCAGCTACCTGCAAGCGCTCTTGGCCACGCCCACTTCTCCTCTCTGCACGGTGAACAGCTGATCAGCTGCAGCAGGAAGTTTATCCTGTAGCAATAAGGGCTGCACAAAACTGCAGGAGGACGCTTTTTCTGCAGCTCTGGGCTGCACAAATATTCAGCAAGTGCTAAATATTTTTAAATAATTTATTTTAAATAAAAATTCCATGTCAATCGTGCGGCTCATCCATCAATCAGCCAACTGTGTGTCGTCCAATCTTATTTTGAAAAACCATGATAGAGCAAGTCTGCAATAAACGAATTGCAAAGTAGCAAGGGACTACTATATATCTGGAGGAAACCCACGCATGCACGGAGAGAACATGCAAACTCCACCCAGAAAGGCCCCCGGACTGGGATTTGAACCAGCGACCTGCTCGCTGAGAGACAGCAGCCCTACCATATATATACCGAGCTGGCCTTCTTGATGATCTTATCTAGCTTCTTCTTCTCAGCTGATGATAAGCTGCTGCTCCAACAGAAAACACAATAGAAGATGGCTGATGCCACTACCAAGTCAAAGAAGGTCTTCAGGAGCACCCCCTGCACTCCAGGAGACCTCAGTTTCCTCAGCAGGTAGAGTCTGCTCTGACTGTTCCTGTAAAGTGCATCAGTGTTGTGACAAGTCCAGTTTATTGTTCAGGTGAACACCCAGGTACTTATAAGAGTCCACGATCTCAATGTCCACTCCCTGGATGTTCACCGGGGTCAGTGAGGTGGGTCTGTGCCTGCGGAAATCCACCACCAGCTCCTTAGTTTTAGCAGCGTTGATCAGGAGGTGCTTCTGCTGGCACCAGTCCACAAAGTCTCGAGTCCACCATCTGTACTCTGAGTCGTCCTCACCTGTGATGAGGCCGACTATGGCAGAGTCATCAGAAAACTTTTGCAAATGGCAGTGTGGGGAGTTGATGGTGAAGTCTGCAGTGTAGAGGGTGAAGAGGAACAGTGCCAGCACAGTTCCCTGGCATATATCTATATCTATATCTATATATATATACATATATATAGATATAGATAAATATAAAATAAAAATAAACATCTACTTACTACTTGTACTACTATTATTTCAACTTTGCCGTTTTTCACTTATTGCGAGTCCTCAGGATAGAGATCCCCCGTGATAAACGAGGGACTACTGTACACCTATAGACTCAAGGACTGTAGCAGTGTTTATTTTAAAAAATCCCTAAATTACCATAATTTCCGGACTAAAGAGTGTAACTGAATATAAGCCACGCCCACTAAATAAATAATAAAAAAGTACATGTATTGGCCATGCTTGTCTATAAGCTGCAGGTGTCCACGTTATGACGAGTTATTTACACAGAAAGATTTTTAAAACATTTAGGTTAAAAATAAAATAAATTACAGTAGCCTACCAGGAAAAGTCACTGATCATAAATCTGAGACACCACAATGGTCCACCTCTAAAATTTTCAAGTTTCTTTTCGGTGGCGATTGTTTCGTCTTTCAGTCGGATCTACACGGTGGAAACAGCTCGGCCGTCTGCTCTCTGTGTTCACCCAGTCTTCAACTATGTTTTCAAGTTCGGGCCATCTGCTTCTTTTATTTTTACCTCTGAAAGCTTTTGTCGTCTTTTTGCATCGAGTCAATTCTTCACGCTGCTGTCTCCAACGTGCCACCATCGATTCATTGATGCCAAGCTTTACGTGCAGCAGCTCCTTCTTTGACAGCCAGATCGATCACCTTTAACTTGAGAGCTGCATCACGTGCATTTCTTCATGTTTTCCACGATGAGGGTCTGTGCAGGAAGCACAAAATAACTGATCTGAAGAGTTTAGTGTGAGTGTGTTAGATTTATGGTAATTAGAAGTTTCATTGGTTCACTGTGACCTGATAGGTAATTTCATGGTCTGATTTTTGTACCTTTATTTATACCGGTAGTCTCAGTGAGTCATGAGAACCCACCCCCCAAGAGGGACGTACACATGTATTGGGCAGCTATGTGAGCGTCCGGGTGTGACGAGGCAAAATGTTTTGACTGCATGAAGCTCGTTAGCCTGTATAAAACTTTGTTTTTTCTCCCATAAATTATCCACAGCATTGTTTATTCAAAGCATGTGGAAAAAGTAGTGGCGTATAGTCTGGACATTCCCATAATTTTAAATTGTATAACCTGTAAAAATAAGTAAATCAGAACAAATAGATTTTCACAAACAGCGGTTTTTAAACACAGCAGCCATGTTTTTTTTAGCGCAAATATTTCACATCTCTTTAAAAAGTTATTTTTTGACTAAAAGGTAAAAACTCCATTTCCTAGGAAATACTTTATCGTTAATTTGTAAATGCATCTCCCACTTTGTTTGAGATGTCTGAGGTGTTTTTGCGCTTGCTAACACAAGCTGCAGACGTTAGTTAGCAAGTTCCACAAACCTGCTGTAAA